AACTTATACTTGGAATTGAACACAAAATACAACTTTATCTAGAATTTCTTGAACTGACTTCTTTAAAAAATGCCAACTTTTCCTTGAGGAGGGTTGGGGAGATGATTCGACTACGTATGATATGACAAAGAATAACTCTTATGCATTAATCACAAATATAAACGAGAAAACAAAAGCAGGGTAGAACAAAAAAAAATAACACTTAATTAGTTAATTAATCGTGATATTCTTTGACGTGGAATGAACCGGCCTAGACTAATTAACCGGAGCTCTTTAAATATCGATCAGGGTGGCCCCTTGGAGCGCTAAAACTCAGACGGAGTCGATGAGGAAATAGAATTTAAGAAAAATGGCGAACTTTTTTTTTGGGTTATGTTGGCTATTAATATTTTGGATAATCGAAAGATAGAAGTGTGAGATTATAAATGAGGTAAATAGCATGTGAGGTGATTCTTATGAGTGATGCGATAATTAATGACCATTTATGAAACAAAAGTTCAAAAAAATGTTCTATTTTAGCAGTCAGTGATCGGATCTCTTTCGCTAAATGCTTTATCATCCTACATCATACTTTGTTCACGCATAGGTTGTTAAAGAGTTTCAAATGCATAATTTATTACTTTACCTAACTTTGAAGAGTAGTTGTAAATAAATGTAATGCGTTTGGACTCAGCTTGTAGGGAAAGTTACATTGAAGAACTTTCATTTATTATTGACTCGGAATCGGAAATTTTTTTTCCTTATAAGATGTTTTACTTTTTTCTTATAACATGCACACTTCTTTGCCTATATTTTGATAAAACTTAAAAATTATTGAATATAAAAAATAGCACCGTATCATTTGCTACTTCCTTAAAATCAAAAAGAACGAAAACACTTTCAGTAATTCCCAGCAGGCATAAACAAATCAGGGGGATACGGTTCATTGTTATAATCATATTAGTCCGCTGTTGACAGTTTTGTCAGTTGTTACAGACATAAATAAGTCAGATCATTTGCCAACACCGTCACTTATATATTATGCAACTGAACTTTCGACCTTCTATTAAGAAAAAAATTAAGTCCGATTACATTTTGGAGAATTTTCTTCTCTTCAGTGTTTTGAACTTATCTTGAAAATTCTTTTCAGTAATATTGTCATTTATTTATTGTTATTTATTTATTATTATTTATTTATTGTTATTTATTTATTATTATTTATTTATTATTTTCTTTTTTTATTTAGTATTATTTATTTAATATTTTCTTTATTTATTTATCATTATTTTGTTTATGTCATTTTAATTTTCTTTCCTTGTTTTATTTATTTATTTACTTATTATTATGTATTCTTCTTCTTCTGGGTATTATTCTTATTCTTATTCTATTATTCTTATTTACTTATTATTCCAATTCGTCTGTGAGTGTCACAGAATATTTTAAACCCTTCATCAGAGTTAACCAACAAGAAAAAGGGAAGAAAGAAAAAACTTTGTTCGTAAATTTTCTGCTCTGTTGTGTTACTTATTAAAATCGCACTGTATTGGTAAACTAGTATTAAGAGCTAAACTGAACCCCTTTGTAAGTTAAACCATATCGGAAAATTATTAACATATAATAGCATTTTAGGAGAAAGGGGGGATAATACCAGTTAGCTCAGGTTCGAAAGCTGAACTGTTCACCCTAGAAACTGTTAGATTTAATTAAGATATTCATTATTTAGTTCTTTATTCATTTTTTCAGTCTTTGTATACGATATATCGTTTCTGAATAAGTCACTGATGAGCGACTTTATATATGTATACATATATATATTTTTTTCTTCAGAAAAACTTACATTGCCATTAGTGTGGTTAAAGAGGGCACACATGTTAATTTAGAAATACTAGAATTTCAGTGAAAAAGTAGCAGGCATTTAAATTTTATATGATAATTAAAGAAAACTATCCATTTAATTTACATGTGACGTAGTCAAGACCACATTAGTGGGAGGGAGAGAGAGAGGGGGAGAGAATTGTCCTAGGGCCCAGGACTGCAGAGAGCACGATCAAAATTGCTTTCAAGAAATATAGTTCTTATTAATTAGTTTTTTGTAGATAAATTGCAAAGAATTTCGTAATATCTATATAAAAACTACGATTTTGTCCAATGGGTCTTTACAAATTCTACAAAATATGAAGGGAAAAAAACTCCTTTTAAATTTTGAGGAAGTGGACCCACTAAATTTTTTTCCGGGGCTCGTAAAACCATTGTTTAGCCTTGGATATAAGTTGTCTTTTTCCCCGGTTGCACTACAGCTTTCGTGGGCCCAACGTTGACACACATCAAAGGGGGCGCCCGGTCTAACCCAGCGATCAAAAGCTGCCAAAACGAAATAGAACCTTGCAACTAAATCCTTATTGTTTGTTAGGATATGAATCTTTAATAAACGTATATTAAGGAGACCAAAAATTATTTTTATAACTCTACTGACTGATAAATAAGGATAACTTTAAAACAAGAAAAAATTGGCGAGTTGGCACAGTCAAACAAACTTATCCACACACGCGTGGTAAATTAATCAACAACATGCCAATATGATAGGGCCTTCTTGACTAGTAAAGTGCAATTCAGAATTTATCCACTAGAAAAAAAACAATTTCCGCACAATCGAGGTACTCTGTCTTACCTCACTCATTTTTATATTACTTGCATGTATTTAAAAATGACATTTATTAAAAGAAAACACCCACTCCAATAACAAACTCTAAGTTGACCACTCAAGCAACATAATGCAAGTGGTCAACTTTTGCTGGTTTCACTATGTATTATAAAAGTTCTGATCCTGAAAATGGATTATAACTTTTGTCAGATTTAAAGTTTTATTAGTTTTCCGCTATGAATATAGTTCCAATTCGAATAGTAAATGAAATTACGACTGATGGGAAGTGATACTTCGAGAGTTTAAAAATTAAAATTAAGATGCTGGCCATTCTTAATCTAAAGTACTTTCCTGAATCGATTCAAAAAAATATCGATAGTTTAACTGTAGTATATCTAACTTTGAAAACGAACAAAAACTGTAAAAAAAAAATGGATTATAGCCAAATAAATCGTGCTAAAATTTTTTTAAAAAGTTTTTCCCGCTAGAACTGATTTGTCCCATTTCATAAACTCTAGGTAAAAAGAACCTTGATTAAATGTTAACAATTTTTATTTATAGTTATGATTCTTATAGAATTTGTACAATTAACGATCGCCAAAAATGATCAATCATAGTAGTTTCATGTCCTTGGAATAAGTTTACTTTTAATTTAGTTTATGGAACCTTTTTCTTAATTAGTGTAGTATTATTCTGAATAACAACGTGAGGTGACAATTATTTAAAGTGAACTTAGGACACGCCATTTATTTTTAGAACAAATTCTTTTTCAATCAAATCGATATATCCGATGATAATAGAGGTCAGTGGGACCAGGGGGAAAGAAAAAAAAAGGAAGGACAATAAAAATTTCTCCTATGGCAGTATACAAAAAGAAGTTCCGTGACGTAATTCATTTGAGAATGGGATATTTGCACGACAGAGAAAAAATGTTAGACAAGTTGATCAAGGGTATAATAGTGTTATCTAAAATATCACTTGATCACGCGATATTTTTGGAATAATCCCTTCATTTCACATTCTTTGATCGTATTCTAAAGAACACAAATTTAAAAGGAGGAGAAAAAAAATAATGATTGCAAACATTCATAACGTGTCTTGATAGAATTCATACAGATTTAGTAAAAGGAAAGTTAATAAGGATATAAGAAGTTTTGAGTGAAGAGGCTTCTCCTCTCGCCATTTCGGAGAATTTAGGTTAAATATTTGATTTGCATTTTCTTGATGATTTTTCGCACTTCATAAGCTTTTAATGACAAAGTGTCATTCAGCCGCACTATGCAATTCAGAAAAAGATTAAAAAATAAAAGGGCTCGCCTTATCAGATAGGATGTTTTAGAGTGTCTATGGATTTTTTTCAATGATGTTAGTAAGAAAATTATGTGATTTATGCAAGTAATTTGAAGCCAAGCATTCAGATTTTTAAAAAAGGTTTAATTTCATTAAAATTTAAACTACTGCGGACTGACTTTCATGACGCTTTACAAATTCTTTAACGTAAATTACGTGAAAACAAAATTATTTTTCAAATATTTTAAAATATATAATACTAAAGTACCGTTAAAAAAAGGCTGATTGGATAATTGTATTGGTGTAATTTAATCAGAAAAAAATTGAGAAATTAAAATATCGCGAGCATTTTATTTCATACTGAGACGGGATGACAGCCTTTATATTTTACATGCTTCGCAAAATACTGCCGAATAGAGTAAATATCTACCGTCAATTTATTTATAAAAATTAAATAAAAAGGTTTAAAAGCATATTTAGAATTTTCCATCCCCGTATCCAATCCCCCAATGAATTTGGTCAGATGGAAAAATACCTTTTAAGCACAATCGAGCCTTTTTGAATTAAATAAAAATACAGGTTTTACAACAGGCACTTAAATATTTTTGTGAAATTCCGAGGTAAAAAAAGTGTTTTTACAATAAATCTAATACAAATATAATATAATATAATATAAAGTAGTGTAATGTAATGTAACATAANATATAATATAATATAATATAAAAAATGTTTTGAATACAAAGAAGTTAATTAACTAAGAAAGCATTCCGTATTTGGGCTAGTCAGTATAGAAATTTCTCCTCAATGCACAACATTCTCATTAAGTAAAAAAAGTAAAAACTATTTTTTTGTTTGGAAAAGTAACAGATGAAAAAAAGGCTTTAGATTTTCATATGAAAGAATGAAAGTTTTCTGTCTATTAAAAGTTTATTTTATATTTTATAACCGTCGTTGAACAGCCGACCAAATTGTTTTAAGTTTACGACTACTGTTTAACTCCGAAGTATTGTAATTTTGAACTCAATCAAGAAGACAAAAAAAAGACAAAAAGTAACAAAAATGAAAATAAGATGAAAAAAAAATTACTTACTTGATGATGACTTTAGCCATGTCTTTTCTTTATCTTCACAGCAGTTATTAGAAACAATTGATATGTATTGGTGAAGTACAGCAAAGTCCTTAACAAGTTCTATTTTTGTAAGAGAATGTATAAAGTGAATTTTCTCTCTTTTGTCAAATAATTCTCTCAAAATATTCAAAAATACAGGAATTTATATTTCAGCAAAGGGAAACCACAGTCGTCTTATGACTCTGATCCACTGTAGTATTGATATATTTTTTGTGATATGTTTCGTTATTTCCAAAGATTAACAAACACTTTTTTAATGTGAGAAATGATATTTATATCCAATGTAATTCACGAGTCCTAAGATTTCAACCTTTTCTTGATTTTTCCACAATTAAAGAATCATGTACAAAATTTTCAAATTAACGATGAATTTTTTTTATAATCCAGTTATTTCTTCTAAACAAAACACTTCTTCATTCAAGACACAAACTTTTCCGTTAATTCGAAATCCATGGCGATTTATTCATTTTGTTTTTTCACGTTAATTTTAGACGTTGGATAAAGAGAGTTAAAAGCAAGTTTGGTTAAATCCGCTCCGGTCGCCACGTGAAAAAAGATACTTTGGAAGGAGAAAGATATTCCAGCCAGCAGTTCTTCGGCCACCAACCGATTGACAGCACGCTTTTCGGAAATGACCCGATATCGCTAACACGCGTTAGGGTTGTTGCCTCACGGCTACATCCGCGCTACTTCCTTGCCTTCATCGCTCGGAAATTTCGCCAAGGGAAATGATAAAATTAATTTATCTCTTCAGCTCCTTTTTCACGTAACACTTTTGAAAAGAAGCTTTTATCTCTTTTGTGGGTGAATAGTGAAGATTATATCCGTTAGTGCAAAATGCATAAGAGAAGAAAAAGGAGGAAATAAAACGCCTAGTATGCGGTGTCTGGAAATTCGGATAAAAGATAAAAGGATAAAACTAGATGCATAACGATCTGAGCATAAGTTTCCAATCTTTATTGAATCAAAGCCCACTTGGCAAGACAAACGTTTTTGAACATTCCCCAAGATAGGGGGAAATAGATACATCTCCTCTATTTCAAGTTGTTTCGTGTTTAAATTTTTGATCGAGTCATTAATTTATTGGAAATGTAATGACTAACTTGTTCGTCTTAACTAATATCAATAGTTCCATCAAAATCTTACAGATTTCGAAGGAAAGCAAGCTAGGTGTAAAAAAAAGAAATTTTCTTTTGCACAGAATTAGTTTTAGCATACTATATTACAATTGTGAGCGATATTAAATTAAGTATTTTATGTAGGTCTATTAACTATTTTTAAATCATCCAGGTTTCACCACTTAAATCTGTTTTTCATATACGAGTTGGTAAAAAATGAGACTAATACTTTCACACGCTTCTGATCAAAAGAAATGAAAGACTTGTAGACCGTGCTAACTCAATATCTTTGATGCATATGTTGAGTTCAGAATTAATAATTTTCAGAACACATTTTACATCTAATAATTTGTTCCATATCTACTTTTATACTTCATTTTTATGAAATGAGTTATGGTATTAAAGCAATGAATAAGGTGACTAGTTAAGGATAGGTTTGCGACTATGAACTGTAATTTTTATCTTTGCATAAAATATCTAAATTAATAAAAAGATGAAAAGGTCTTATTAAAATACAGATTCTGCATTAAATTGTTCTATTTTAAATGTCATCATCTACTTGCACCAATTTTCAAACCCTGTTTCCGTTAATCTGAACAAGGATATAAATCCAAAAAAAACAGGACTTTAAAATTATTATTGGATTTAGCACTAAGGTTAATCATTTTGAAAAATTGCCTTCTACAGGCATCGAATTTCAAACCCTATTCCCATTAGATATGAACATGAATTTAAATCGTTTTGTGAGTGCTTAGTGTATTCTTAATAGCTTACAAAACCAAAGAAATAGCTCTGCTATTAGTTTTTTAAAATTTAAATTTTACGAATCTCAAATCTTTCGAATACCTCAAAAAATTTTAAATTTTTTATAATACAATTATTTATTTTATTATTGCGCTTCGAATTTAACTTCAAACAACGTTATCAACTACATAACAATAAAATCAACCATTCAATTGACTGTCTAACAATTATTGTGTACATTAAGTATATATTTGAGGGTAGCTTTCGATTAAAAATACCTGAATTTCAAATGGAAATGTCGCATGACAGTCAGGCAGAAATACATTCTGAAAACATAAGCACAAAATGCCTTGATTGGTTAACGATGCAACACAATCGAATAGAAAAAAAAGCCTTTAATTGTTTTATTGCTTTTCCATGTTCACAGCACAATATCTTCATCATTCTTAAATGTTTGTAATACAATGTCTTTACTATTAAATGCTCAAAGCTCAATATCTGAACCATTTTTTAATGCTAAAAGCACAATACTCTACAGTGCTCCCAACTACATGTATATTATTCATTAGTGTTCACAACTGTCTATTCCTCGTGAGGAATGTCTGAGTTACATTTTAATGTTCACAACACAGAATCTTCATTCTTTAATGTTCATAAAACAATATTTTCACCATTTTTAATGATAGCAACAAAAAATAAATAAATAAAAATAGAAAAAGGAAACTGCATAGTTTTTCACATATTTGTAAAACTTCCATTTTTCAATCCCTATTTATTTACATATTTTAAAGTTGCATTGATTAAGTAGTAATAGTAATAATTTAAATTAGTAATTTTCAGTTCCAGAGTAACATTTCTAGACAATATAATTAACCATTGATTCAATCCCAACTTAATATTACACATGCATACAGACCTATCATCTGCTCACGCAAAGAAAAAATTCAAACAATATTTAAAATAACATCAAACAACTAAAATTTTGCACAAATGTGTTATGTAGATTATGTTATTCCAACTCAATTTATCAATGAAATATTTCATAGGCTTATCATATAATGTTCCGGTCAAATGTAAGAAATATTTTTTACAGAAATAGTATTTTGTGAGTAAACTTAAGGTGACCCAACGCAAATGAAATCACATATACCTACGATAATTTGTTGTTGCTGACGTATGCCTGTTTTTGTTTTCTAGTGGCGCCATCTATGGCAAAGAATTCGACTTCTGCCACACCATACGTCCCATCCGTTTATAGGGCGGACCCATTCATACATCCATTCATTCATCCACAGATTGTAATTTTGACCTGAATCAGAGAACGATCGATCTCCAATCCAGTACCCCCAGAGGTATTGATTTGTTATGGGAACATTGAGGATTTTTACGACTCGACAGATTCGATTTAACGTGCGTCAGTCACTTTACTACACGGGAAGTCTTCGGTCGGCGGGGTTCGAACCCACGAACTCTCGGACAGCGCCCTACAGACCAGGCTATCCCGGCCTTACGATAATCTGTTCCAATAAGTTAACCCTTTCGCGCCGACTGTCACAAATACACGACAGCATAAAACCGTATCAATCAGGGTAAAAATATAAAACTGGTAATCAAAGCATTTCTTTAGCATTTTATTTGAAGGTGGAGTTGTAATTGTTTGATTTATTTAATTCACCAACACTTTGTTCAAAATAAAACTATTTAGTTATACTTTGAATTAATATTGATTATATGTATGATTAAACTAACAATAATTAANTGGCTTTTAAGTCTGGTTTTATTTAATTGCAACTTGATTCTGATTTTGTACGAATGCTTTTCTGAATCACCCGTCCCCAAGGGGTTAAGGCTGTGAAACATTTAGTCAATGCAAGACTCAACTCCTGCAAGTATTTTTACTTAAATAAACTCATCTTTTCTTTTCTACGAAATAAATATTATAAATCTCAACAAATTTTTTTCTTAAAACTTTAGTAATTTCCCCCCATAATTTTTCAGAGTGATGACCGTGATCATTTTCAAGAGAATCAAACATGTAAAGCCCTCATTGTAATGTATCCTAAAATTACAGTTTTTAGCGAGGTGATTAAGTAAAACTGTATGATCCTCATCTTCCAAATATTGTTTATCGTGAACCTTTTAAACTCATCAGTTAACTCTCGAAACTTTAATGCTGGCCAATGAAGGGAAGCTGGTGGTAATTTATTTTCAATTTAGCGATAAGCCGAATTGCTGAAAAATAAATGGATGCTTAAAATTAAGGGGAAGAGAGCAGTTTGAGTTTACGAACATTCATTTACTTAGGAAATTGCTATTCTCCCTTATTTCTAAAGAACTGGTCGTTTGAGTACGAAGCATTATCATTTCGCTTTTATCATCTCAGTGATTAAAGTCTTGGAATTACTTTACATAGTATTAAAATAGAAATATGTAATATGTTTGGTTATAAATTCAGATTCGTTGATGTGTAGATAATTTCCTATGCTCATGATAGAAAGAAAATGGAAAATACATTAGACAAGCTAAAAGAGATAATTTTGTTTTTATATTTTTCGGAAAATATAAATACATACATTTATTTTATTTTTTAAAAAAAGAAAGTAAATTTTGGATTATACGGAGAATTAATTGAAAGCATTTCTCGTTGAAAATCTCTTTTCACTGAATTTATGTCCCTACCAATTTAGATTTTCTCTCAATATAAAAAAATCGTAAGGGCCGCCACCCACGTTGTCTTGGAAGTTCGACTTAACATTACATTTTGTTCTGCTACGCAGAAACTATAAAACTTAAAATTACTAAGGTGTGAAGAAAAGTGTACAGAAAGTACGATGAAAAAAAATATGTTCATTATTTGTTCGTGAATTTTTAACTGTTGGAGGATTTTTAGCTGTCGTGAGCATTAAAACTTTAACTGTTAAACTTGTTGGGGAAAAAAACCCATACGGACCGGCCTACAGACCGTAGGAATGTAACTACAAAGTTGAAATTTAGTATGCTGAAAAGACTACTACTGTTTTTATGAACATAACATAGTTTTTTTGTTTTTTTTGTTTTTTTTTTTGAAAATTCTTATTTGTTCGAAAGTTTTGTAATTTTTAGTATTTTTTTGCAAAATATTTCTCCCTATTTTTAAAACTTTTTTTTTTGCTTTACGTTGCATTTTGTTTTGTTTGCTCAAAATTTATAGGATTTAGAAATTTTGAATTATGAAGATGTGCGTGTATAAAATGTGAAAGAAGTTCAATGGAATAAAAAAAATTGATTCTCGATTATTAGTTTGAGAATTATAAACTGTTTAACTAGTAACAAAAGAAAAAAAATACATGTTGCTCGATCTACTGTTTACTGAAATGCAACTACAGAGTAGAAATTCCAGGTGCTAATAGAACAATTTTGAATTATAATTTTAAAGAGAGTTTTTCCGACATTCCAATTTGTTCGACAATTATTGCAATTATAATTGCTTTTTAGTGATTTTTTTTTAGTTTTTTTGTGCTTAATATTGACTATTTGTCCATTGTTGTAGAAGATTTATTTTTCTTTTATTTATCTTTTTATTTTATTAGCTCTCGCTCGTGTAGATGTCAATCAAAAGTAGCAAAAGAGAGAGAGAAAGAAAGAGAGAGATTACATGTTGCCAGATATAAATCTTAACATTAATAGTGAATTCCAAAAAGCTTAATAAATGGCGATAAAAACTGTTTCCTATTTGTCTCTTCAACGAGTAAAATTACTTCCCATTTATTTCCTATTATTGAATT